CTGGAGGAAAATTTGCACTCATCAGCCCGGAAGCTGCGCATGGGACGTACTTGGACGTTCCAACATGACAACGATCCAAAACACCAGGCCAAGTCAACCTGTCAATGGCTACAGCGGAATAAAGTGAAGGTTCTGGAGTGGCCATCTCAGTCTCCTGACCTCAATATCATTGAGCCACTCTGGGGAGATCTCAAATGTGCAGTTCATGCAAGACAGCCCAAGAATTTACAGGAACTGGAGGCTTTTTGCCAAGACGAATGGGCACCTTTACCATCTGAGAAAATAAAGAGCCTCATCCACAACTACCACAAAAGACTTCAAGCCGTCATTGATGTTAAAGGGGCCAATGCACGATATTAAGAACTGGGGTATGTAAACTTTTGATCAGGGTCATTTGGGTAGTTTCTGTTGTCATTATGATTTAAAAAAAGTGAACACAGTTGTTCCATAATAAATGGTTTCACCCAACCACTAACCATGAGTGAAAGAACAGTGTTTGTGTTATCATTCATATTTTTTGAAAAATGGCCAAGAAATCCTACATTCTGCCAGGGTATGTAAACTTATGAGCACAACTGTATGCATACAAAGTATTAAATTGTGGACTACTATGCATACCTGTCCATATGATCACAAGGGGATGATCCGCAACTATTGAGTTTGTAAAGTGTGTATGTTGATAGTCTTCTGATCCTCTGACTGGGAGTGGTGACGTTTGCTGTAGTGACTTAAATGCTCAGGAACAGCAGCAGGGGAGTTTTGTCCCATCAACAAGTAAAAACTGGAAAGCAACAGCTCACTCTTTTGTCGCTTGTATTCAGCACAACACGACGATGTGTGTGAATTCTTCTCTGATGCTATAAATACAACATCTGTTTCCCATAGTTTCCTTCTACTAATGCTTTTGGGCCAAGATTACCCTCTAGCTGGGGGACATTTCTCACAGACACTCTGCACCTCATTGGGGCTCAATGACCTTAGACCCCCCTCAAAAAAGAGAGTGACAAAGGCCTGGCTGACCAGCTGGCCCTCTGCAAGCTCTCACAGGAGAAGAGGGTAACATCTTTTATGTGCTGATCTTCTGGGAAACTCTTGCTTTACTTTTTACTTTTTATCTTTGCTATTTCCAGTTTCAACTCAATCAAACTACTCCTAAAGAAATGGTCAAAGCGCGTATGTCCCATTTCTAAAGGTTCTTTCCCCTCTTCACTTATGAGTCTCATGCCAGATGCTGGAGGCCACGCAGGCTCCTTTCCAAAAAATGTTGCATTTGTTTTTTCCAGGGATAATGGCTATGACGGCAGCATAACAAGTTTCACATAAAAGAACATATAACATGCTGAATTGAAGCTCATCCTCCATTTAAAAAAAAAAGCGTTGGGTAAAGGGTGACTTCTGCGGCGTCCCGTTGATTCACGCTCACTCTCGCAAATATATATATATATGTATATTCAGAGCATTTAAATCAAAGCAAAATCATATTTGAAATGTGAAGACATGGCAGAGCCGGGCCGCAGGTAACAATTACAATAGTTCATTAAAGCTGCGAGCAGCGTTGGACGGGTCCTCGCAACTCCGCACGTCGGGGCACCGGCCGGACGGCTAGATACTCAGCCAAGAACCCCTGCGGCCGCCGGACAGAGCGTCCGAGAGTCAATCGTCGTTAACCCTGTGGAGCGACGCCAGGAATCCAGCTTTTCAACTTTAACATTATTAAGGTCTTAGGCCACTCCCCAGCCAACCTCTGGTCAATTTTAGGTTAGAATTAAAAGGAAACTATCAATAGTTACATGATCATTTCACTTCAGATGGAAAGGACCCATCCCCAAGGTGTCACTCAGCGATAACCAGGACATTCTGATGTACCATTCCAAAATTAAAGCCTCTTAAAATACCATACATGAGCAAACTTCCTTCAAAGTCTAATTCACAAGACTACTTCAGGTCAATACAAGATTATAATTAAAAGGAAACTATCAATAGTTACATGATTATTTAACTTCAGAATGATAATACACATCCCCAAGGTGTCACCTTGGGATAAACAGGATATTCTGATTTACTATTCCAAAATGAAAGCCTCTCAAAATACCATACATGAGCCGATTTCCATCACAAGACTACTTTTGGTCAACTTCAGGTTAGAACTAAAAGGAAACTATCAATAGTTACATGATAATTTCACTTCAACCTGATAGTACACATCCCCAAGGTGTCACGCAGGGATGAGCGAGACATTCCGATCTACAATTCCAAAATTAAAGCCTCTCAAAATACCTTACATGACCCAATTTCCTTCAAATTCTCCATCACGGGACTACATCTGGTCAATTTCAGATTAGATTGAAAAGGAAACTATCAATATTAAAATGATCATTTGACTTCAGGCAGATAGAAAACATCCCCAAGATGTCAGGAAGGGTTAATCAGGACATTCTGATCTACCATTCCAAATTGAATGCCTCTCAAAATACCATACATGAGGCGATATCCTTTAAATTCTACATCGAGAGACTACTTTTGTTCAAATTCAGGTTAGGATTAAAAGGAAACTATCAATACACAGTATTTCCGCTTCAGACTGATAGTACACATCCCCAAGGTGTCACCTATGGATAAGCAGGACATTCTGATCTACTATTTCAAAATTAAAGCCTCTGAAAATACCATACATGAGCCAACTTCCTTCAGTATCCTTCACGAGACTACTTTTGGTCCATTTCAGGTCAGAATTAAAAGGAAACTATCAATTGTTACATGATCATTTCACTTCAGATTGATAGTACACATCCCCACGGTCTCACCCAGGGATAAGCAAGACATTCTAATGTACTATTCCAAAACGAAAGCCTCTCAAAATACCATACATGGGCCAATTTCCTTCAAATTCTCCATCACAAGACTACTTTTGGTCAATTTTAGGTCAGAATTAAAGGGAAACTATTAATTTTTACATGATCATTTCACTTCAGACTAATAGTATACATCCCCAAGGTGTCACCGATGAATGAGCAGGACATTCTGATGTACTATTCCAAAATTAAGACCTCTTAAATTGCCATACATGAGCCAAAATATCACTCATAAGACTACATCTGGTCATTTTCAGATTAGATAAAAAAGAAAACAATAAATAGTTACACAGTAATTTCCCTTTAGGCGGAGAGTACACATCCCCAAGGTGTCACCCAGGCATAACCAGGACATTATGGTGTACTATTTCAAAATTAAAGCCTCTCAAAATACCATACATGAGCCAATTTATTTAAATGCTCTATCAGAAGACTACTTTTTGTTCATTTTCAGGTTAAAATTAAAAGGAAACTATCAATAGTTACACAATATTTCCACTTCAGGCATAGAGTACGCATCTCCAAGATGTTAATCAGCAATAACAATGATATTCTGATGTACTCTTTCAAAATAAAAGCCTCTCTAAATACCACCTTTGTTTTTTACTGGATACTAGAAAATGTGACTTCAAGTTACCAGTAGGTAAGTAGGTATCTCTCCAGGCCCAGAGTCTCATTAAACATGTGTAAATTAGAAAGAATCCGATGATGTCCAGTAGAATTACAACGGTTTAGTTGTTCTTGGCGAAGGATCAGCTTTGCCGATACACCTTCTCGCCACCGATTATCGGATTCTTATCATTTTCACACTGAAGCATTATTCAGGTCTTACCTCTCTGCTAGGAAATTTTGAGAGGGATCAGATTAACCTTTGAGGAGCATAACCTGTGAGGAGCAGGGTGTAAAATAAAAAAACAATCAACTTCCTGTTTTCCCCAGGTGGCGCTATGATTAAGGTTAAAAATGATCTTATGGATGTCTACAGGGTGAGAAGTTCATGCTATATGAGAAACATGGAGCAGATTAGATGTAGTATGGTCAAGTTAAAACCACTTCAGTTTTTCAAAAATGCTTCCTACACACATAGTTTGGAATTTCTTCCGGCAAAATGCAATTCTTAGAGCCTAGGTCCTCAAGATCACACTGCGTGAATTTGAAAAGAATCGGGTTTAATCCCTGGGAGGAGTTCGGTCTTTTACAACTCTAGGAAATCAGGAAAATAGGCCAAAAAGACAGATTTTCAACGATTAATTGCAGCGCGCCCTATTCTTCAAATCTTCTAAAAAAATCAGGGTGTGTTCAGGGGCTGAATGTCCACATGTGGAACAGGTTTAGTGAGGGCAGGCCAAATAATTTGGAAGTTATGACTCTTGCAAGATTAAGCCCCACCCCTTGCGAAGTTCATTAGCCCATATCGTCTCAAAACAAGAAGATATCAACACGATATTGAAAGGGCAGGGGTACATTGATCCAATAATGATAGACAAAACATTTTGTGACAATCGGACATAGCGTCTAGGAGAAATGGCCAAAAACGTGTTTTTCACTAAATTCAAAATGGCGGAAAATCTAGTTCGGCGCATTTGCATACCATTATTGACTTTTTTGTAGAGCATGTCCAAGAGCACATGTGTGCCAAATTTCAAGTCAATCAGACATCGGGGGCGGAAACTGGCCTAGTGGGGTACTTTTTGACCTTTCTAGGTGGCGCGTCGTTGCGAGGACCCTAATTACTTCCTCAATTAGTCGATTAGAGGTTTGGTCTATAAAAGGTGTCAGGTGGAAGATCAACCAGTGCTCAGCTTGTGCGGCTGCTGTGTGTTTTTCCCCACGTCTGTTTGTTGGATTGATCACAGAGGTGTGCGAAGCCATGTTGCCTTTTCCAGAATCGCATGAGTCATCCATCTCTTGTAGTGGTGCTGCGACCATCAGAGAGAAGCTGTACACTCCAACCAGCACCACGCCTCGGCAGACAGCTGTGCTTGTGTTTAAAGTGTCTTTTTTGTTCTGACCTTTGTGGTGATTGCAGATTGAGTAGTGAACGATGTCGCAGCCCTCTGAGCACAGTTGCCACAGTGATCGACATTTCTACACTTCAGTCAAACGAGTGTTTCGACACCCGCTCCGCCAGGGATGCTGGGGATTCACGGAGCTCAAACACTTGGAGATTCGAGAGCAGCATATCCTCTAACAAACTAATCTAGCAGAGGGCCATTGGCCTCGCTGAATGTGCATTCATGTAAAACGGCACAGGAGGTCTCACAAAGTTCTCAAACCCTGTGCGTGACAGGGTTTGAGTACTACAAGTTGAATCCATGTGTTACAGAAACTTGTGAATTATACCAGGAAACTGCCTTTTCCCTTCACTAAACATATTCTAGGTAAAGAAAAGCGTGAGTGAATAGAGAATGTCAGTGCGTTCCCCTTGACGACTTTGACTTTGACATTGAATTGGGCAACAATCACTTTTAATAAATAAGTTATTCCTAGGCTTGTTTATACGTCTCTCCTTGCTTCAACACTTCTAGTCACCATTAATAAACAACTGAAAAAAGATTACTATCCAGTCAGCAAACAGATCCAACTGCCTCCTGGGTGTCTGCCTATTCTCTTATCTCCGGACATCTTTCTCACTTCAAACTTTCCATTTTCCTCGGTTTCTGTCTCCCTTGCTGGCTCTGGTCGTAAATCCACTTGCATAAACTGCCTTCAGGTTGGTTTCCACCAATGTTACATGAGACTCCCCTAAGTACCGCGCAGGATGTTATAGAACCCTGCGTGGTTCAGATGGTTCCGCTCAGATGTGTAGTAGAAAAAAAACGTTTCCACCAGGTCTTCTTCTCTTTTAAAACAGACGAGGCAACAACACATCAACGGTGTCTATGGGCTCCAGAGCAGGAGGAGTCAACTTTCTCCAAAATACAACTATCTTCAATCATTTTAGACTTTTATTTAAAAACACAATGCAACACTGCCTTCCCATTTGTTTCACATATTCACACAGAAATAATCTGCATTCATGTGTAGAACCGACACACACAGTCAGAGTTGCTGAGGCTCTTACAGAGACACGTACGGCAACCTGACGGACATCCAGTTACACCGGAGAGGCTCTATGTGCAAAGTATTACTTATGTATTAGTATCTCAGTACCCTAAAAGGTAGTGGTGATGTCTCTTCCTCGTCTGAAATGCTGCATCACAGTAAAGTGGGTGCATTTCTATTCCGGACTGTCTTGGTCGTTCTATCATTTTGCATATGGCCATAAAACCAATCGCAACCAATAAATACAACAGATCCAGCTATCTGATTCAGTTCAAACGGATATCTGATATCAGTATATTGGTCCGTCTGTCATCGGCAACAGGAAGTGCTACGATGGCTTTTACGAAAACAGCAACTCGAAAAAGCTAATGGTTATGAAGACATTAATGAGCTCAACTCTGCAGTATTTCTGTATCAATCTCCGGCCCAGCAGAATGCCATACATAGGAGTGTTTCATATGATCCATCTGCAGAGAGAAAAGCTGCATCAGCGACAGACCTGAGTACGGTGTGTGTTCTGTGCAAATCAAAGCCAGCCAACTAAATGAGCAAATACCATGGTAACCAACATGTCGCCGCACTCAGTCATCGCCGCTCACACATGAGTTAGTGTGAAATGAACGATTTGAAGAATCAAATTCAACTACAAACGGCATTTTCAAATCACCTCTTCCCTGCTTAGATCCAATGCTACAGAGTGTATGTGTGTGTGTGTGTGTGTGTGTGTGTGTGAGTGCCTCAGGATCTTTCTTTCTCACTACTGAAGATGGTTTCAAACACACCAAGAAGCCTTCAAGTACCAGTACTTTGATACATTTGACATGAAATAAACATTACATCCTGTCATGAGGTGCAGAGTTGTAACAACTTAGATTGTTTTATATTTGATCCCCTCCAGCGGTCCTGTAAAAATCTTGGAATAATACAACAGCATGCTTGCACACAGACACACACACACGTCGAGAGAATTCTCCATTGCTGCAGGATGTCAGATAAAGCTACTGGCCCCATGCTAGAGAAGTGTGTGTGTGTGTGTGCGTGCATGCATGCGTGGCAGTGGCTCTTTTTCAGGGAATATGCTGCCAACCTACCCTGCTTATAACACACAAACATTGCTTGTGCACAAACAAAGTACTATTTTGCTCAATAGACACGAGGAGATATCTGAACTTAAAATGGCTCCTTGTAATATTCATGCAGCTCATTTCACAAAAGGAAGGACTCATTTTGTAATCGTTTAAACTGTAAAAGGTGGAAGCGGTGGTGCTCATTTATTTGGGGTTCTACAAAAAGGACAAATACCCCGAAGAAATGTATTATTTATACGATTACGTTGTGAAATGAAGAGACACGGCCATTTAGGGTAGATGAGTGCAAGATCACGACTACAGCACACCTCCTCCAAGTCCATTGTGTATTTGTCCACTGATGGGTGCAATCAAATAGGGCATGCAAGGTATTATGTGACAACAAACCCTAACTCTAAATCCAGTCTAATCGGCACGCCAAATGCAAATTGGTGCCCTATTCTTAGCATTTAATTGGATGGAGTTTGTAAATATCTGCGACTGGAATACTTCACGGTGACAAAGACCTGTTACATGCTCTTGGCTCGTCATTCATTAGGTTGGGGGAGGGAGGCACCGCTGAGGAGGGGATGAGAGGGAGGGATAGTCTCACGGCAGATGAGTAGCAGAGAAGTAGAGGGAGAGCAGGAGGAGGAGGAGGAGGACAGTGTGGAACATCGAAGAGGAGAGCCAAACCACTTGTTATGCACATTTCCCTTTTCTTTCCACACGATTTGGGTTACAAGTGGGCTGACATGCTATTGTGTGAGGCACGCAGGGGAGGTGTTCATGTGTGTGTGTGTGCAGAGGAATTGGGGGGGGGGGGGGGGGTTCTAAAGCTAAACAGTCGTCCAGAAAATTCCTTAAGAAAAATTCCTCCAGAATAATAATCTCACCACATTACGTGAATTTCTTCAGAAAAACATCTGTTGAGAATACACAAGGTACATTTTTGCAGCACATACATTCCAGGTTCCCCCCCACCCCCCTCAGGCAGCAGCTGCTATGCCCCCACCCCCACCTCTGGACTCTCTCCTGCAGAAGCAGCAGCTTCCGGCCCCCACTGCTTCCTCTAACAGCAAAGCTTTGAGAAGAATAGCCATGTAGAGGGTGGCCATCACCTTCTAAAGCATAGTACATAACACACACCAACCCCCGTTATGATTCAAATTCTCCCTTCTTCCCTCTCACACAACTCACTTCCTGCAAAGGGGATTGAAAAGCCGATCTGGTGTGAGAGCAAAAGCAACTAGTCCTCCAGATCCCACCCTGATCAGGGATCTCTCTCTGAAAACATCACGCCGGGTTCTTGGACTTTAAAGTTTAGCTTCATAATGAAGAAGAGTTTCCCAACAATCCCTCTCTGCCACGGAATTCATTTAAAAAGCAACTCAAACTCTTCTCCTTACATCCAGCTTCCACTTGACTGCACAGCCCCACAGGAGGCAACCCCTGCACGCTAATGCACACAATTCATGCACAAAGAGAAAACACAGGAAGCTCACTCACTCACTTGGTAGCGATGCGGAAGACGTTCAGCAGTCCATCGCCCACAACTCTCTCTGAAGACAAGTTTGGGGAAGCCGGTGGCAGACGCACAATGGGCGAAGAATAGCAGAAAGCAACAAAGATGAGAGCGACTGAGAATGTGAGAGACGGGGTGAAAGAACAGCGGAGGAGGGGGGGGGGGGGGAGAAGACGGACTGAGTGACTGAGATGGAGCTGCGCTGGCTGACAGACTCCCAGAGACTCCTTCTCTGAGCTGGAGCACACACTCACTAACCGGCCCCCTCCGCCTGGCTGCCCCGCCAGCTTGACGTCAGAGCAGTCACATGACCCCGCTCTGGTGTGGAGGGGAAATGAAAGGGGCGGGTGGGGAGGGGTTGAGAGAGAAACGGAGAAGCCTGTGTTGCCGTGGTAACAGGGACACAGCGCAGACATGCGCTGTATTTTCAATAGGTCATCCGAAAAGCTCTTACATAGAGAGAGAAGCTGACAAAAGACAAGCTCGGCGCTGCACGCGGACTAATGAAGAGAAGATGAGCGCTTCACAGGGAACATTAAACAGCCTTTACACAAGGAATGTGCACCACAATAACTTTTGAACTTGTGCTTTGACTCCTTGAACCCCGATATGCAACATGTTTGTCTCTTTTTCAAGCTATTATCTGAGCCCCGACCCGCGGTGCCTTGTCTTGTGTGTCTACGTGATGATGAAGGGACGAACATAGCAGGGAGGATGGTTTCTTTCCAGCTCTGTGAGTGTCGGTCACTCTCGTTTCTCTTCTTCTGGCAAAGACTTCTTGTCACAACGATGTCAAGATATTTCAACAGTTGAAAGGATATAAGAGCTTATGTTATCAGAACACAACTTAGTTATTAGAAATGGACCTTATTTCTATGCCTGAGAAATAGTTTATTGCTTCAGGAGTCCAGCGATTTGTTCAACACATGACTAATAAAACCGGGAATAGGAAGAAGAAATGAATAAGAATGAAATAACCTTCATTACTTTGGGAAAGTGGGGAATAAAGCAGCTTCAGTTCCCCTTGTGTCTTTATTTAGTTTAGGTATTAATACAGTGGGACGAGCTGCAGCGGCACGCCTCAACACAAAGATCGAATATGAAATATAACTGTATGATTAACCGCCACTGGACAGTGGGCATAAAGGTATGATCAGGTCTTGATGTGTCATTAGCACACTGGAGACTAAAAACATGAACTGAACTCTTTAAGGTACTGGAGCAGTATTAGGAACAGAGATACTACTCGATACTAATACAAAGGACTCGACAGAACAATAATATCACCCCCATGATATTTAGCCTTAACATAAAGAGCAGAAACAACAAATGATTAATATTACGGTTTCACTTTGTGTCCAAAAACTGTTCCAAACTCCCAAAGTCCCAGATTTGACAACCAACATCTCAAATTGACTTTGACTCTTCTTAAAAACGATAGTTTCATCATAAACTACTTATTATGAACCATTTATGAGCTAACTTACGTCACTCCATCAACTCACTCTCGACCTG